ATGATCACAAAGACAGAGAAAATAAAATAGTACCACCACCAAGCACCAGTTCCCTTGTGTTAAAAAGTTTTTATTTGTGGGGAGATTCAATTATCATTTAAAAAAAAAAAAAGAAAGTACCCTCCATCCCCCAAAGGAAAAAAAAAAATTTTTTTAAAACAGGGGGTTTTTTTTTGGGGGGGGGGGGGGGGTGGCGCGGCAAGGATGTCCCAACCTCCGGTACTTTGCATTCCTGCCTTCCGCCTCTTTTTCTTGACTTCCTCCGGTTCCATTAGCCCCGTTTCGATTCCCTTGAGGAGGGGAGGGGAGGTCCCAACCTCCCGTACTTTGCATTCCCGGCTTGCGCATGCGCTTCTTTTTCTTGGCTTCCTCAGTCCCATTAACCTGCGACGCGCAGACGTATTTCCGGTCGTCGCTTCTCTTCGGAGGGAGAGAGGCGACAACCGGAAATACGTCTGCGCTTCGCAAGCTTTCGCAGGCTACAGTCCCATTAGCCCTGTTTCGACTGCGAAATTCTGCGAAATATTTAATTCAGTGAGCATTTGAAATCAAAAGTGCCATTTTAGAAAAGGGGCAAATTTCTGAAATCAAACATTAACTAGGGAGTCAAAAATGAAACCAAAAATACGAGATGTTTTTAAGCAAAGAAAACAAGACAAGAATCAAAATAAATATCAACTGTTAGCGTTTCCGTGTGTTGAAGACTATTGCAAGAAAATAGGATTATCACACTAATCTCTCGCGAAGTAGAGATTTCCTAAAAATTGGCACACTCTCGACTCTTTGACGTTGGCAAATACCACTCCTTCTATTCTTCTCCACACAACCAATCTCCCCAAGGCAAACATGTGCTCCCCTTCGCCTGCACACTTGCGTATTTGGCAGGTACAAAGTCATGTTGACGACATTCCTTTCATGTTTGTTGATTATTGTCCCGGATTATTGTCAACATTGTGAAGTTTCTTATTGCGTAAGCTTCCAACTTTTTCTCGGGAATAGTGGCATT